TCCTTTTGTGATTAATTTATCACCACATCATTCTCATTTTAAAGGTATTAAACTGTAAATATAACTGTAAAACAATCACGTTTAAATAGTATATGACTAACGGAAGATGTATTGTAATTGTTGAATTAGAATTCACTTACGTCTGATCCAATATTCTGTTGCAATTATTATAGTACAATAAGTTAAACGATAGTTTTCTAGTCTCGTTGGAAATTGTAAAAATTAGGAGAAAATGTCGGTAAGATAGTGTGAGTCTGCGTTATGATATTTAGATGGGCAATGGTTATGATGTGTAAAATCTACAAAACGGACATGACGAAGTCTAATAATGGTAATGCGAACAACTTTGTGCTTATTTGTTCACAGTGGTAGCCCAGGCGTACAAAGTCGACGTGGAGGTGATCGGAGGTGCATCGAGGGGCTGCACGGCAGTGTTGCGATGCGTAGTTCCGAGCTTCGTGAAAGATCTGGTGCGCGTCGTGTCCTGGCTGCAGGAGCCATCGTTCTACATTTATCCTTCATTGCAAGGAGGTAAAAAGCACGCATTAAAATTGAGCGTTCCGTTCTTAGTTTTAATATCAATCAATCCACTCTTGTAAGGCACCGATCGATCGATCAAATCCACAATTGAGCTAAATCTTTCTATACAACCGTCTCTGTGCCGAGTGCGTGCACCGAGAAAGAATATGTAGATAATAGCCTACTGGCTTTGCCGAGGCTATCATTCTACGTGAAAAGCGAAGCGCTATCCTATAATCGATAATTTCGCCTACCTGGCAAAATGTAATATTCCGCAAAGCGACCGGCAGACTGTGTAGCGGCAGATAGCAATAAAAGCCCAAGGGACATTCCACGGGCACAGATGCAGCAACAGAGGGCCAATAGGTGGGCGAAAGGCACCAAGCAAGAAGAATTATACGGCCACGTTCGTGTGGTGGAACAGAAAGGCGAAAGAGGACGACGTTACGTAGAGGAGGAGGATAGATGCAGAGATGGCAGAGGTTCCGGGGGCGATTTTCACGTGGGTAGAGGTTTGCACGAAGTATTATGCTCGGGTGGTGGCATTGCTTACTGGGACTAAAATTTAATATCCGGCCACGGGCGTACAGCCGGCCGGTACAGTGAAATTTAATATCCACAATAATCTTGCATCACTTTCCCGCGTCGTTGCCGTAGGTCGTGCAGAGATCGTCGAGGACATCGACCCCGTAACGGTCGAGCGGCCCGCTCATTAATAGTCGTAGAAATTAATTGGATTTAAGAACGTCGTCGGCCGGTCTTGCTTTTTTTCTTTGAACCTTTCTCTCTTTCATTTTGTTACCCTCGTGCGACCGCGACGACACGAATTGAAAAAGATGATACCCGGTAATTAAAACGTCGGTTCGCGCGCTATTAATTAGTAAGCTTAATTAGTAATCCTTTTAATTAGACGCGGCACAGCGTTGTTATTGCCGTTTGACGACGATTTCGCGATTTTTTCGCGATTTACTTTCGCCGATAATTATTTCCCTTCTTCTCGCTTCTATTTTTCGTCCCGTTTCCCTGTCTCGTTTGCTCTTTGCGATTTCAGTCTACGATATCGTCGAATCCATATTTCGACATTTGTCGTTCTGACAGATAAGTGAGCTTAACACGTGTTAATCAGTTAATCTTTTGACGTTACATGAAATTTAACAATCGCTATATCCTTCAACAACATGTTTCACGAAATAGATTTCTGTGTTTCTTACCGAGCAGATTAATTTTCACATTTACATCGATTAGAAACTTCATTGAATGATCTCGTTTTATTGAATAATTTACAATAATTTACAAACTCCTACACGCAGTATTATTAATTCTTGTGGAAGTGATTACGTCGCATACATTTCATCAGATGTTTTATTCATCAGTTTGTTAACTTCGAATTTCAAATTATATTTCAAACGAAATTAATCGATTCAAGGTGTCTAACTTTAACCTCCATTTTACCACCTTCTTGCGGTTTCTTTTAAAGGCGATCATCTTAAAATTAAACTTCTAAAATCTCTGCAACGATGCGAAACGGTTGAATGGAGATTTCGTTCGTAATCTCTTTGCTCTCTCGATGCTTCGGCGAAATTTTATAATTGCACAGCGGAACAGCAGGGGAAGCATATTCACCGGGGGATAACAGAGTCGAAGAAAAAATACGGGGGCTGGCAGGTATCCAAGCAGCCATTGTCGTTCGGTTTTCGAGGGAAGAACGACGGGGATAGCGTAACTTTTATGCGACCGTGCAAAAAAAGGCGGCCGTAAAAACACACGCCACCCTCAACAGGAAGATATTGGCGCACCGTGAACCGTTCCTGTTATCGCGCGATACATAAAATTCCCTGCATGTCGCTTTGTTTTTAACGAACCTCCTGATCTTTCTGCTCCGCTTTCCAACAGAAAATTCTCCGCTCCCTATGGTCCTTCCTCCCTGTTGGAACTTCTTTCTACAATGCCGCCGTATGCTTTTAAAATGCCATCTCTTTTAAATTTCACTCTTCGTTAAAAACGATCGTCACTGTACTACTTTTAACAGCAGTAACGATAATAACGATTCGCCATAATAGAGTAGAAAGACTGAAATTTCAAACGGTATTCCTCTCACAGTGTGAAAGTCTCAATGTGAAAGGAAAATACTATCGTTTGCATTTAATATTCAGAACTTGTAGAATATGAAGTGAAAAAGCTTGAA